GTAGCATTGTGTAAGTTGAACTCTTCATAATAAAGATTCAGATCCAAATATTCTCTCTCCTTCTCTCTCTCTCTCGCATCAATAGTGTCTCTCAAGAATTCTATTACCTGTTATAATTATATCATCGACATAAACTAGAAGGATAGTGGTCTTACCTTCCTGAGAATGTTTAAAGAAGAGTGTATGATCTCCTTGACTTTGCTTGTATCCCAATGAAAGCATAACTTTGGTAAATCTTCCAAACCAAGCACGCGGGGATTGCTTCAAGCCATACAACGCCTTCTTCAATCTGCAAACTTTATTATCTCAATTTGTAGAGTTAAATCCTAGTGGGATCTGCATGTAAACCTCTTTTTCTACTTCGCCATTGAAGAAGGCATTTTTCACATCAAATTGTTTCAAATCCCAATTAAAATGAGCAGCAAGAGACAATAAAACTCTTACAGTATTCATTTTGCCCACCAGAGCAAATGTTTCTTCGTAATCAATACCATAGGTCTGTGTGTACCCTTTGGCTACCAGACGAGCTTTATACCTCTTAAGAGTCCCATCAGAATTATACTTCGGAGTATACACCCATCTGCACCCTACTGCCTTTTTTTCATTTGGCCTATCAACAACTTCCCATGTATTATTCTTCTCCAACACATTCATCTCATCATGCATGGCTTAAACCCAATTATCATCCTTTAATGCTTCATGTACTGATTTCAGGATTGAAATGGAGTCAAATGCTATAATAAAACTTCTATGTTGCATAGAAAGATTCTTAGAGAAGACAAAATGAGAAATAGGGTGTTGGATACAAGACTTTTTCCTTTTCCTTACAACAATGGGTAAGTCATCAGAATTAATATCAGGCTCAAGAATAAAAGTAGTGTATTCAGTACTAACCAGCGGTTCTGGCGATTGCAGTTGCTGGTGGAGCAGTGTGGGTTGTTTCTTCTTTTGATACACTAGTTCAGGTGTCCCTGCTTTGCGTACTCTCTGTCGATCAATAGGAGGCATATCACATGAGGAATCAGATGAATTTTTAGTCTCAGCTACAAGTCTTCCTTCTCAACTTGGGTAAGAGATGTAGGCAACAAAAAGGGAGACTCAGACTCAGAAAATGGATGCAGCTTCTATACTGTTCTCCCCCTGAAGCTGAGGGTTTTGAAAGTAGGACTCAGATTCATGAAAGCTAACGTCCATAGAGATAGAGAATTTACGACTTGGAATATGGTAACATTTGCATCCTTTCTTGTTGGGAGCATAGACAAGGAAGACACACTTAAGGGCTCTAGGCTCTAATTTACTCTGATTTTGTTTATGGACATGGACGAAGGCAACACATCCAAAGACACGAGACTGGAGACTCTGCATAATTGGAACATAAGGGAAAAAAGAGGTCATGAGATCAATAGGACTTACATGGCCAAGAACTCTGGAAGGTAAGCGGTTGATCAAATAGACTGCGGTTGATCAAATAGGCTGCAATTAATACAGCTTCTCCCCAGTAAAAATTAGGTACAAATGTCTGAAACAACAATGCTCTAGTGACTTCAAGTAAATGGTGATTTTTTCTTTCAGCAACCTCATTTTGTTGAGGGGTATCCACACATGTGAGTTCATGAACCATTCCTTTGTCTTTAATAAATTGGCAAAGATGATGATTAACATATTTTGTACCATTATCTGATCTCAAGCTTTTGATACTTTTACCAAACTTGGTTTCAATCATATTATAAAATTGGATAAACAACTGTTACTTCTGCTTTATCTTTCATCAAGAATATCCATGTTATTCAAGTATAATCATCAATAAAGGAGACAAGCCACTTAGCACCAGAAACATTAGGAACCTTGGATGGCCCCCAAACATCAGAACGAATAGTAGTAAAAGGTTCAACACTTTTTATTACACTCGAAGGAAAAGATGTACGATGATGTTTTGAAAATTGACAAACATCACAATTAAAAGACTCAACAGACTGTGACACAAACAAAGATGGAAACATAGACTAAAGTAAACTAAAAGGAGGATGACTCAAGCGCTTATGATGAAGCCAAATGAGAGAACCTGAAGTAGACTGACTAGCAATCAAAATCTGATCCCTGGTACATTCTGCGGCAAATTCTGGAACCAGATAATACAACCCACCCTGTTCCTTAGCAACTCCAATAGTCTTCCCCGTGGTGAGATCCTGAAAAACACAATGAGTAGGAAAAAAGGTTATAGTGCAATTCAAATCTGTAGTGAGTTTATGAGCAGAAAGAAGATTGGTAGAAAGTTTGGGAACATGAAAAGCATTCTTGAGACACAAGGAGGGTTGAATTTGAATTTTACCAAAACTTGCAACTGATGTATGTGATCCATCAGCTACAGCTATGGTACGGATACCAACAGTAAGATTATAAGAAAAAGAGGGGTCAATGCAGCAAGTCATATGATCAGTAGCACCAGAATCCACAATCCACGAAGTTTTGAAATCAGTGCAAGAGGCAATAAAAGAATGAGTGCATGAGTTCTTACCAGTCATAGCCAAAGTACCAGTACCAGAGGGCTTATGGAGAGATTCAAAGACAGATTTAAGTTGTTCCAATTCCTCACGACGAATAGTAGTAAACTCACCAGGCATATGTAAGATTTCATTGACAGAAGGAATGGCTGAAGGAGCTAAAAAAGATTGACCACGTGAGGTTGACTTACAAGCCTCTCCTGAACCTGTTGTTTTCCATAAAGATGGTAGCAAACCTCTTTTGTGTGACCTGGTCTTTTACAATAGTTACACCAACGCTCATCTTTGCTGAATTTGGAAGAGGACCCCTGAGGTGGCTTAGCTGAGATCATAGCAGATCCGTCTGTGGACTTAGAATCAGAAGAAGGAAGTGTTAGCTTTAGATGAGAGCATGACAGATTCTTCGAATAATTTGGCATCTATCATGACAGCCCTGTGACTTTCTTCACCCCTGACAGTGCGAAAAACTTCAGAAAGAGAAGGTAATTTTTCCTTACCAAGAACTTGAACTCGAATAGGTTTATATTCTGAGTTGAGACCACAAAGAAAATCAAAGATCCTATTGCATTCAATGGAGGTGGTCAGAGTGGCTGCATCCTTGCTACACTCGATCTTCAAACTCTGATACTGATCAAGCTCAGTCCATAACCCATTCATAATATCATAATACTCTGTTATATAGAGAGAGCCTTGCTTGGTAGAAAAAATCTTATTCCTTAGATCATAGCAGGTGGCAGCATCTTGCTTCATTGAATAGTTTGTCTAAGAACATCCCAGATCTCAAGAGCGGTAAGTAAGAACATGCAACGTTGACTAACCTCAGGAGTCATAGAGTTCCATAGCCACGTGATAATAAGAGTCTTCATCATCCCAGTCAGCAAATTTTGGATCTATTTTGGCAGGAACAGGTCCTTCACGATGAGTAATTTTACGACGCCCTTTAAGGATGGTACGAACAAGCTGGGACCATTGCAAATAATCCTTCCCATTAAGACGATAATTCTGATGAAGAGGAAGAAGGTCATTTGGAGAAAAAATAGCCATCAAGCGTGTACCAGATGATTGACTAGTTGGAGTATCTTCAACGTCCGACATAATATAAGGGCTGAGAATAAGAAAACAACCAAAAAACAATGAACAAAGTGTCAGTGAATAGTAATAAAATACTGTAGGAAGACCGTAACCGAGTCGAAATGCCACGATCGTCACAGATCCAGATGCGCAAGGAGACGAGCTAAGCAAAGCTGGTTCGACGTGAATCCCCTCTGTCACACGCTGTCACGCGCCGGAGAACTTGTCGGCACGTGGATGTCAAGCGCAAAAGAAGGAAGCGCGTGTGAGGGCGCGTTCCTGGCCGGCCGATGCTAGGCTTTTCAGGTGAGGGTCGCCCGGAGGTTACGCTCTTGTCTGTGGTTGGTCGAAGTTCAATAAGTCACCAAAACAATGCGTAACAGTGAGAAACAGGTGCGGTTCATTGTTTTCGGAGCTGTTTGGGACGTCCATTGACCAGGAAATATACGTAGAAAGATAGATCAGAGGAAAAGGAGTTTAATAAGGGTTCTCTCGGTCCAAAAGGTCACCGTAAAAAATTTCCGGTGACTAGTGGCGGCGAGAGGCAAACAGAAAAAGGTTTCTGCTCTAATGGCGGCAATTGCGGAAGCAGAGCCCTCAGAATCGTGAGCTCTGGTACCAAATTGAATTGTATATTATTGAATTGTATAATAGCTTTACAAGAGTCCTCTATTAAAGAGACTAAAAGACCTAATGGGCTAAGCCAAAATACACTTCTAGAGTATTCTAGCTAATACAAATAATTCTAATATTTACAAGAGTAATGTACTAAACAAAATGTTTCATGTTCCGAACCTCTCACTATATTGTTTATGCCCAAAAGAAATAATCCTGTGAAAACATAATTATAAAGTGTTTTAGACTTTTTGAAATAATTTTCAAGTGTTGCACATATAGTGCAGAATGAGAAGAAATTTTCACAGCTGGCGGAGAGTCGGAGACCAGTCAAAATGCTGGATTTTGAAGTGGGAGAGAGTGAGGTGAGGGAAGGGGGGAGTTAGGACTAACGAGCAATGAGTGGGTATTTTTGTGCTTGATGCCTGCATTGTGGGAATACAAGATACCCAACCTCACTCATGGGAATGAAATTAGACCAAAACATGGGCATATCATTTTCCATGGAATAATTAATTCCTCGGAATAAGATTTTAAAACTTGGAACAAGCATAAGAATATTTCATTCCCGCATTTAGGTTCCTGGAAGTAACTTAACAAAGTTTGAAACAAAAACCCCATAAGGAGGATAATATGCACTCATGCAAGATTAACAAGAGCAATGGAAACAAAGCAAATGAAATATTAACGAGAGCAGATGACAAATTAACGAGAGCAATCTCACCTTATCAAAAAAATAGAAACATATAATAAACAAATTAAGAAGAAGAAATGAAAGTCAACTCATGAATAAATGCAATACATTTGTCAGACCTTGAGCATATTTAGGTCCCTTGCTTTCTACAATGCAGGGTGGTTCAACCCAATCATAAGCTTTCACATGCAAAGAGCCATAGAGAACTTTGCTAAATACAGTCATCTCAGGATGGTCATGGAGTGGAATAACCGAAGAAGTCGGAAAACAGAACATACACATCTGCACCAATTGACATTGCTTACTTAAAGTATAAATATCATTTCACACAGGTTCGAATGTAACAAAAAAATCACTATAATTGATGTTAGAATACAAACATCATGCTCAACCCAATTGCAAGAACACAATGAACAGTTTGGCTATATTTGAATCATGCAAAACATACCAGTATTCAGAATGTCTTCAATTAGGAGGTAGACAAAAATATTAAAAATTATAAAAGCATACAAAGCCGTAGACATGAAGCTTGCATCAGTGCAGATGCAGCTTGCTGATGCACCACACACACACACATAAATATTGACTATCATTGTGTTGGAGAAGAGAAGACAAAGCGAACAAGGTACATAGATGCTTAAAGTATGCCTACCAAGCTGGAGTTTAAACAAGCCAAGAATCAAGATGTTGATATACTGCTAGTAAATGGCTAAACCCAATGGTACCTAACTCTTTAAAGTTCACTCATAAATCATTAAACATACAATCTGATTCTAACTTGGACCTGATATTTCCATTAGAATGACTAGCAAATGTTCAAATGGCCATGGCTTATAGATTCAGTTTTTTCTATTTGGTTAACTGCATTGCAGTTTTAGCCACACATCATGAAGACAAGATAACAAATCTAAGCCTAGATGCAGACCTTGTTCTCACAATTTATGAGCCAAGAGCTTTGATATGCAAAACTGTGCTAATATGAGTAGTTGTCTTATAGATGTACATACTAAAACGGTAAAGCTCACCGTAAAACAATCACATTCATGAATGTCCATATATGTTATTGGTTGAGCCCATCGAGCTACTCTATTTAATTGGTTAACACCAAAAAATCCATGCCCTCGATCATCATCTGCAGTTTCCTCTATAAGCCCTACATCGGCTGGTTGAACAGTGTCTGCCAAAGTCATGAATAATTACAAAGATCAAGAATCCATTACCCAAACAGTGTAACAAGTTGTGCATTTCAAAGTTCAAAATTTATAAAAAAAGAGCCTGTATGTTGATAGGAAATGTCTTCTTACTCTGTACAAATAAAACAATGTTAGTGTTAAACTTGACAACAATTTACCAATATCATGTTCTCTGTTTATTGAATAACTGCTCATAATGAGTGACATCAGAATCCACAGCAACAGACCAAATTCTCCATAAATCAACTCTTTGTAATACCGTTTTCAATTTTGCAATCATTTTAATGAGAGTGCTTAAATAATTGAAGGACCAAAACAAAAACGGCAAAAGCTAATTTGTTGTTCAACAACTCATCTTAGACCTCCCCCATAAAGTAAAATTACCTAGATTAATCACAATAAAAAGCTAGCCATACTAGAAGTATGCAGCTTTCACAATTTTAATGTCTTTATTTATATTGGTCTTACTTCTACTTCTTTCCTCGTGAGTTTCATAAATTGCAAACAAAATCTAATCTGACATTTAAAAAAAAAAAAAAACAACAACCACCACCACCCTTCCATTTAACCATAATAGAGCAAACTTACACCAACAATATCCACAACTCGCCATTTAAAAATACCCATAAGCCCAATTTGACCAACTGAACATTCATTAAGCTGAAAAGAATTTGATTTTAAAAAATTAAATAAATAAATAAATAAAAAGATGCAAACTTGAACTATGAGAATAATAAAAGAGACATACCCAGAATTGAAGAGAGCTTCTGCAAAGCTTGGGAAGAAGGAGGGGGTGTTCCAGATGGTGAGAAGATGTTAATGCAATGATCGTACAAAGCCTGAACCTTGGAGCTTTGGTGCCTCATACTCAAGAATCTTCGGAATGAAGCGAAAACCATGTCCTTGTTCAATAAAAGTATCCTCAGGGTATCAGACAATAACAATGTAATTTTGAAGACGTTGCGGTATATCTTTCTTTCTTTCTTTTTTAACTTTGGTGAAGGCCCATCCCATCCACAACCATAACAATTTCATATACAAAACAAAAGTTTTTGAGGAAAAGAAAAAAGAAAAAAGAAAAAAAGCAACTTCATCATTTTCTCTGCCACTAGTTTTTTCTCTCTTTTCCCTTAAAAAATTATTTTAGAAAATCCCAGATCGCTTTTCAGTTCATGTTTTCTGTTTCACTTTTCACTCCCACTCCCACATTCAGTAAATAATCGGATTAGTGCATGACAAATATATCATTTTTAAAGGGAACAGTGCTTAAGTTATGCTATAATAATGTATTAACTTTGAGTTTGCTTGTGGCCGGTGCTTATATGCAATAAGTTCAATATGACGTTATTTTTGAGTGAAAATCATGATATTTTTTTAATTTTAATTTATTTCAAGGTTATTATAGCTTTTATAATTATAATTTTTTAATATTTCAATTCCAAAACGATATCGTTTTGAAAGTAAATGCAGATAGCTCATCTGCAACAACTGTAGAAATATTTTTCTGATTAACTTTATGGTTGAGAGCCGTATAATATTTATTTATTTTTTTAGAAATACGTATAATATTTATTTGTCTTGCTTAAATAAGAATGTTCACTGAATGATAATATCCTCAAATAACTTGTTTTACTAAAAGTAAAATTTTATTTACTAAACTTGTGCTGTTAAGAAATATTTTAAAAATTAAAATTATATTTGTGCAAGTAATATTTGTTTTGGCAACATTTTAAACAAATTTCATAAAACATGTATATGTGATTGTTCTATCCTAAAGACAGAGATGTCTAGCCCAATAGATTAGATAGTTACTTTTGGATCTAGATGCTCTCTAAGGTATCTATGGGTTAGATACCCTTGAATTTGACAGATTACTGTGCACTAAGAATAAAGAATGGCTTTGCCAAAGAGGTGGTGTATGTGTAGAGTGACAGCATAACAATAATAGAGAGAATAATCATATCTGTAGGTTTTTCCTCTTATTTATAGAGTTTACTTGTAGGTATTATGATTTTAAACATTTTGTGTCTCTTCTAGCAACTCAAGCCCATGTTTAACGTTGTCGTATTAGGATTAATATCTTTGATAGATATCCTCCTTTAATTATGTTAGATTTGTGTTTGGATTACCCCTTATTGGGCCTTATATTAAATGGGCCTCATATATGAATCCATAATAGTTGCCCTCCAGCCAAGCAGTCTGGGTGTTTGGGCTGTCGGGGTGCATATAGCTTTAAAGATTTTCCGGACTTCAAAAGGTTTTTATACCTATCCGGGTATCAAAAAAAAATTTCTCGAGTTTCTCATTGAGAAGTATCCAGGTTTACATTCATGATTACCCGGATTCCTATTTAGGAGTATCCAGGTTTGTTATATTAGTTCTGAGGGATAATGTATATGTCCCATATCTAGGCAAATTGAATCTTCAACTTGCCGAGATATAATTTATATTGCTTTGATCCAAGTTGGGACCAATCTTGGATTGTTTTCACCTTCTGATGATGAGTTGCCCCCGGGTTCATCTTTTATCAACCAGGTTCAACTGCTCAATATAAGACTTACTGTCACTTTGTTATGTGAGGAAATATCTCTATTGAAATTCGGCTCTTGGTCTTTGCTCACCATAATTTCTTATATTTTGACTGTATATGAGCCGAATTAGTCTTTGTCTGTTTGTAGAATCATATGTCCGAGATAAGAACTGCATGTTGTTCAAGCAATGATGAGATATTTACATGTGGTTGTTGAATCATAGGTCAAGAAGACTATATTGATGAAGTTTTGATGATAACAAAGCAACAATAAGTACAAACATAGCTCAACATGAAAGCTTTCAATGAAAGGTATGTCAACAAGTTCTAAATGACACAAGAAGTGTATAACAAAGTGCAAACATGAAGAGAAGACTCAAATATGCAAAGTCAAAGCTCAAGTCAAAGATTTCAAGCTAAAAGAAGTACTAGAAGACTCAAACTATGAAAATCAATGAAGACTTAAGCACTTACTAGTTATATAGTACAATTAAGAGTCTTATAACTTATTAGGATTGAGTTTATTAAGTTTTTAACTTGGAAGTGCAAAAATAAACCAAAAACTCATATAGGTGACATATATTCACTTTGATCGTGCATACAATGTTCACACACATCAAGAGTTGTTATGCAAGTATGAAACATGATCATACATATATTAGAAGTCACTTAGAATCATTTAGAAGTCACTGGAAATCATTAAGATGCATTAAATCTCGAAAAACCAGCTGAAGATTGATTTCTGCATAAAAGTAATCGAATACTATTTGCAAAGTATCTGAATACTTTTCTGGGTAGAAAAGTATTCGAATACCTGATGAACAGTATTCGAATACCTGATGAACAGTATTCGAATACTTTATGGGTTTGAAAAAGTATTTGAATACTCCCCAAAAAGTAATCGAATATTTTCTGTTATTAATGACTTAAACTTAAAGAAATTCAAATATTTTGATGTCCAACGGCTATAAACAACTAATAACTCATTTGGCACCTATGAATACATATCATTAGGGTTCTGAACACAAGAATTAACACTGAAACACTCAGAATCAAGAAATCTCATAATTGAACCCATTTTGGCTTGCTTTTGCATATCCTTGAGAAAAATCTCAATTACTCTCTCATCTCCGAATCTTTTCAATTCTTTCTATTTTGTTTAGAGAGGTGACTCTACATCTGTTTAGCAAGAGTGAATTGCTATAATTGTTAGAAAGACAATTAGAATGACCCTAAAGGCTTATGTTAAGTGTGATCATAGACTTGTAAAATTTCAGTTGTAAAAAGGTTTCTTTAAGCACCTGTTGGAAACTTGATGATAGTGAAAATGACCAACCTCAGTCTGGACGTAGCTCTCAAGTGGTTTAGAGAGTGAACCAGGATAAATACCGGTGTGATTCTTCCTTACCTTATCTTTTGATTTCTATCAATTGAATTTTGTTTTGATTCTTGATATATGTCATATTGAATTTGTTTTAATGATTATGATCATTACTTTTCTGTTCTAATTCGTTCTTGCATGAATTCTTAAAAAAAGGTGTGAGGTCGCATCTACTACAATGAATCGAACTCCTTCGTTCCCAAAGTTAGCTTTAGGTCAATGTAACCCTTTGGGGGAGACGATTCTCCATTGAAACCAATTAGCTCAGTGATGCATGGTTTCAAATCTTGCTTATCTAAGTTCATCTTTTGGAAAGCATTCCAAAAGAGTATATCGGCTGAGCTTCCGGGGTCAATGAAAATCCTCTTGACCCGGCAATTAACTAGTATCCCAGTGATTACTAAGCCATCAGTGTGGTCAAGGATGACCTTTTGTGTAAAGACCCACACCGTTAATTAAGAAAGTTAAATAAATAAATATGAGAATTAGGAAATAATTCCATAATTGACCCTAATAATTATGATAAGGCTTAAATAATTATAGTAAATGTGAAATAATGCTGAAAGTCGCTTTTCGGATGAAAAGTGCAGATACCGGCTACTCGGTATAAATGCGTACCGATGAAGTATCCCATAAAATTATAAAAAATATGTATATGTCACTAGAATAATATATAGGACTTGTAAAACAAGTTTCAAGTCAAAATAATGAGAATTTGTGCCAGAACTGATACTGGCTATGAAAAAGCACGTACCGAAAAGGTACTGCGCAAAATAAAATAAAAATATTATAAATCTTAGAAAAATGAGTAGGATCAGAATCCTAAGTTTGGTATTAAATTGCTAAGCGTAGCAATTAGCACTAATACTGTGCGATTTAAACTATTTAGACTATAATTAGAGGTGGCACAGATTTTTAGGTTAGTTTTTTTCATTCTCTTCGTGAGTTTTGCTGAAGTTAGAGCAGCCACCTTCATCCTCCCTTCACCTTTGGAGCCGAGAGACCTCATTTCTTCTTGGTTCTTTCTCAAAAACTCCTTGTGTGAGTGTGCATTAACTTGAGAGAGTGTAAGGTGCTCCTTTTTCTGAGTTTGGGGTGCTGACTTCTTGGTGTGAGTTGAGGGAGCCATTGTCTTGGCATTTTGTGCTTCAAGGTGTGACCTTTGAAGAGAAAGGACTCTACTTGGTGTGCCATTTTCGTGCACATTGAAATCAGAAGCTTGAGGAGCTATTTGGTGAGCTCCAAGAGCACTTCTTCCTCTGTTTTGAGCCTTGGGTAAGTTCACCTACCTTGATCATGAGTCTTAATGATTAAAAGTGGAGTCTTGACATGTTTAATGAGCTAAACTAGTAACCAACACGTATATGAACCTTTAGATGCTTAAAAATGGGTTCTTGGACGTTTAGAAGTGTTAAAAACACAACCTTTAATGGATATCTTCGCGAAATGCAGAATCTGCATTCTGTCGCGAAATATCCGGATATTGATATCCAGATATGGTGTCTTGTGATATCCGAATATAGATATCCAGATATTCTGGGTTTTCGAAGAACAATGGTTGTACTATTCATACAGAAGGCAGTTATGGGTTTGTGGACCCTAGATTGATGAAGTGAGACTTCTGTAATAACTTATATAAGTTAGAATCAAGTGATTAAGGGCTTGTGACTTTGTGAGAAGCCTTAAGATATGAAACGTAAAAGAGAAGCGTTGTCTTTATGTTATATGTTTATGAGCTACAGTTGTTGATATGATTGTTGGTTCAAAACAGATTGTGATTCTGCTGTGTTTGGGCTTTGAGCTTGTGTGGACTCTTGGCTTGGATTGTTAGTTTGCAAGGTAAGCTTTTGTGTCCTCGGTTTAGCCATTGTGTGGTTCCACCATACCCCATGGGGGGATGGTTTATATGCATGATGTGTTTACATGCTTTGATAATTGAAAATGTTGTTGAGCTTTATGTGCAATGGCTTTTAATATGTATGTGTTGTTCCACTTGGACGGTAAGCCTGAGTATGTGGCGTCATACAAGTCGGTGACACTGTGGGT